CTTCCCCGCACGGCCACACCGATCCCGTTCGCAGTGACTTCGATCTCCCCGACGCCTGACTCAATAGCTCGTCTCTGGTTGCGATCCTGTCATTGCCGTCCCCATCCCCGGCCTCCCATGCGTGCACCCAGCCATGGCGCCCCGCCGCCCCGTTCGCCGGCCATGGCCACGGTCACGAGGTCCCGTGCCTTGGGCAAGCAATCGCGTGGCTTGGTCGCGAGCTCCTCGATGGATCTCATGGCATGTCCGTCGTGAGTTCCACATGTAGGTCCGTGGCTTGGGCGAGCAGCCGAGTCGCGCGCGGCGCTGTGGTGGGCGATGCAACAGCTCCAAGCACGTCATGGGGCTCCGACCGATAGCTTCGAGCACGTTGGCGGGTGGGAACGGCTGCGCAAAGGAGCCCCCATGCAACGTCTCTACCAGCGACAAACAAGTGCTACGCCTCCCTCCTCTCTGGACATGGGATATCGCCAGGGGACACGGGGAGCGCAGGCTGGGGGTCGTCGGGCATCGCAGAGGAAGAAGAGGCAGTTGGAGTGGGGCCAAATATATTGGTGGATATGCAACTCCCCCTTGATTTGAGGGGAGATGAGTGATTTTTTGATGGCCACCAAAAAAAGGGAGAGCTATTGGGGGACTGCTGGAGAAAAAAAAGGGAGAGCTACACGGATACCGCTGTAACTTTCACCCAGAAGTATTCCAAGTATCGTATCCATAGGAAAACGTGTGAGACTAACAACGGTCTAACTTAACGAGGGGTAACGATTAGGTCAAGAGTTACTTTAACTAGGAGTAGCAACAAGGTTAGGATAAACAGGAGCGTAGAGAGAGTAACTAAGGGTCTCTAGATCTGACTTGGGTAAGCTTATGTCTTCTACTATTTAACTGGGGACATTACTTAAGGGAAGACACCAACAGAGGATGCTTTCCTTAGTAACCGGGTCCTACGTGCGCCTACAGACGGGAGGTGGACTACAAAGGATCAATGATGCTATATAGTACAATGCTGCATAGTACTGATGTCACACACGCGATCTACCACCGATCCGGAATGCAGGGGGCATCCATGATTAACCTAAGTCTAAGCACAACGCTTACACTCACGATTAATACTCTACTCCCCCTAGGAAAAGAATAAAGTACTCAAAAGAGAGTCGTGAACCTGAAGAACAATATAAACAAGATGCTTACTTGAATCAGAAGTTGATTACTAGAGATGTCTCGAAGACAAGCTCAAGTAGAACTTGGATCCGCCAAGGTACAAGCCGTAGAGACAGCACCGATAGGCCAACATCTCCTCCAAACTCTTCTCTCACTCTCTATCTCACTATTTTTAATTATAAGACTAGATCCTATAGAGGACTAATCTTCTCTTGATAGCTAGCTCTGATCCTCATGAGGAGAATTTGAATTAGGGTTTCAGGATCTCTCTGGATCTCTGAGGATCTGATGAGGGAGGGGTGCAGGGGCTGGATTATATAGCCTGGAGGGTCCAACATGAGCCCTTGGATCAAACCAACTTAAGCAATGGCTTAGATGCATCCTCAAAGGCGGTGGGGAACCGACAGATGAAGCATGCTGACAGGTCGGGCCCACAGGGGCCCGGCGGCCTGCAGGTGGGGCTGGGCGGCCCCACCTGGCAGCCTCTCAGCCTCCGCTTCGGTGATGTGGCTTGTGGAGTCCCCTGAAACCTTTTGGAGTTGGTTTCGCGTCGGAATTCTGATTTTTCCTTTGACGTTTAGATCCCTCTTGACGGTTTTCTGATTAAAACCTGCTGAAAACACAGATTCACCAAAACTCGTGGAATTTGTCAGTTTAAACCCCTAAACCTTCATTGGTGATTATATTTATGCCCTCATACACGTTTAATTGACGGTTTATAATGTATGTTAACTACCGTCAACAATTTGAAAATGTACTTTTCAAGTGTTTGGCAAGAAGCCTAAGTGCTCTCTAAACAATGGCTGATACATGTATCGTCCTTAGAATAAAAATGGCCAATGTATACATCGCCTTAGTCACTGAGCAGCCGATGAGATGAGTATCGTCGCTGTTCGGTTTTAGTTTGATCTATCAAGCGTTTTCAGGCTCACGCATCATTCACCTGAAAACAAGGGGGCATATATTGGCACTCAAGTTAGGTCCAAGCCAATTTAAATAGGTCTATGACAATTTTGGCCCAATCTTAGGAAAACTCCATAAAGCGACATGATAATAATACCACATTGTTTTTTCTATGGGATAAGACCATCCCTACCCCTTATACATAGACGATTGAGTTCCCATCTATCCAATTGTCAAATAAATTAATTTACTACCTCTACTCTAACCTTTTTACCCTCTTCTCCAATCTCCATGCTGTTCATCCTTTGATCTGACGACCAAGGATGGCACCCTAGGCTTGTTGGACGACCTAGGGCAACCCGGCGACGTCCTTGCCCTGACGGGGTCCCACCCGGGCAAGAGCTTCGATGGTTTCTTTGCTTGTTTACCTGAAAACTAGCCGGTTCTTCGTCACGCAAGCACGTTGGTTATCCTTTGGTGGTTTGCATGTAAACCTCTCTGTTCTTCACCACGAAAGAGTGACCTTCTTACTGCGTTCTTCGGTCCGTGGCGGCCCGGGCATCCAAGGCCCTGTTGGTGTGTGATTCGGACCACCTCCGACGTCAACACATCCTATGTTGTTTATATATAAATTACTTGCTGATCAGAGACGCATTTCTTGGGAAATTAATAAAACCCGGCCCCGAGTGCCTCGATCAGATCTCAATCCTCCTTATGTTTACATGTAATCGCGTGTGAATTAGCCAGTGAATTAGCCACAAGTGATATGAACACATATGCATGCATAGCCACATGGGATCCAAGTAATTTGAAGGTTGCACAAGCCCTGAAGCACACAGCGAAGCATCGTTACAAGTGATCTTCAGATTAAACAAATATGTTGGTGTGTGTATTGGCAGGTTGATCGATAATAATATAATTAGTTAAAACTTTTTTTAAATTTTGTTTGCTCGCCATAAAGTGTTCATTCACTTATTGTAGTATGCCCTGTAGCTTGGCACTCATTCGCTACAAAATACGCGATTTTATTATTATATGGACGTACGCCCAGAAGCAGGTTCAGCCTCCTTTTGTGCTTATTAGTTGGTGGCCTGCCATTCGCTCCAGATCTATCTACAAATAATTAAACGCAAACCAATGCAAGAGACGACTTGACTTGTTGAGGAACATGATTGGTGGTCATTGTCATGCAAAGGCCGAGCATATATCTATCCTATATAGTTTTCGTATTACTTGCCGACAAGAGGAATTTCTTGGGAAATTAATTAAATCAGGCCCCGAGTACCTAGATCAGATCTCAATCCTCCTTATGGTCACATTTTATCACGTGTGAAGCAACAAGCAACAGGTACACACATGCATGTATGGCCTGGCCACATGGGATCCAAGTAATTTGAAAGCAGCGCAAGACCTGAAACACCCAACGAAGCATCGTTAGAAGTGGTCTTTAGATCATTAAACAACTGTTGGTGTGTATTGGCATGCAGGTTGACCAATAATACAATTAATAAAAACTTTTGTAAAACTTGTTTTCTTATTAGAAAGTGTTCACTCATTGTATGTCCTCGATCTAGCTGGTCACTCATTGGTTACAACTTACAAAGATTTAATTATGTGGACGCCCAATAGCAGGTTCAGCTCGATCCTTTTGTGCTGTATCCCAGCCTCCGTTGCAAATAAGGACAGGCATGCAAATAACAAAGGAATCAAAAAATTGCAATAGACCCCTTGAGTTTGTGTGGTTTTCTGCATCTGAAGAAACCCTGAAGTAACACAGGGGTTTGTGCAATTCTATTAATCTGAAACCCTGAACTTTGCAGATCGAGCTGAGGAAACAAAGGACAAAATCCTCTTGTTCATTTGTTCCCTCGCACCGCAGCCTTTGGCCCCATAATTTCCCATCAGTGCCTGCAATCCCATAGTCTTCCTCTGAATCTCCTGCGCCTCCGCGATTGCTTTCAGTTGCGTTGGAAGAAAAACTTGGCTCCCACAGCAACCACCACCTTACCATTCAGTTCAGTGTCTCCTGGTGTGTATGGTATGAATATCACTCTCTCTGCTCTCACAGTAGATTCGATTTTCCCTCCAAAGAAAACTGCACACTCTAAAAAAGAAGTGGAGATACAAGTACATATTGATAACTAGAAGTCTAGAACTGTCACTCGTAAATCGTGATAAAGAAAAACTCCATCGGCCAGGTCCAGGGACACTTCTCTCTGCCTCTCCCTCTTCATCTGGCTGCCGTTGGGGAAGCACACAATCACTCGGTGACTCGGAGCAGCACACAATCAGCGACGGCGTGTTGCTCCATCACCCGTCTTTTTTTCACTTCTCAGAAAAACTTGGTGCGTACGTACGTTGGTTTCCATTTGGTTTATTTTGTTGAAGTTCGAACACACTAGATCTGAGAGTTGACTGAAAATTGCAATCTTCTCATTGTGGTTCCACATCTCACAGCTGCCTGACAAAGCTCGCGGACGGTTTTCTTGCAGCTTGAGGACTGACCTCACATCACAAAGCTTTTCAAATGAAGCTGGATACGTACTGTCAAACTAAGAAAGCAGAGACAATAGTGGTGGCTCCGCTGTAGTGGTGAGTGACCTCAGCGAATCTCGCTCTCTTCTCTGGCAGTTTTTTTGTTTATGTTTCTTCTCCAAATAAAAGTGCAGATTGTTAAAAAAAACCTTATGATCAATCTTCCAGGTTGAGTAATAAACTAGTTTTTATTTATGAAAACAGAGCATCTGAATCTGTCGATATATTTGATTCAGGAGTAAAATTGAGAAAACCTCACATCGCCAACTTCAGATTCAGAGTGCTGAGCACAAGAAAGGAAAGGCCAGGGGATCGATGGAGGCTGCCGTGGTCAGCGCTTCTCATGGTGCTTTGGGCTCCCTGATAGCGAAGCTTGGTGATTGATCACATCTGAGTACAAGATGCTCAAAGAAGCTAAGGGACATATCATGTTCCTTAAAGCTGAGCTAGAGAGCATGCACGCGTTCCTGAAGAAGATGTCAGACATGGAAGAGCCTGACGAGCAAGACAAGTGCTGGGTGAAGGAGGTACGTGAACTCTCCTACGATATAGATGACAGTATCAATGAGTTCCTGCATCGCGTCGAGCGCAAGTACAGCAGCATGCCGCGTGGATTCAAGGGGTTCATGGATAGAAGCATGAGCCTACTGACAACCATGAACATTCGGCATCAGATTGCGAAGGAGCTGGAAGGCCTCAGGAGTCGTGTCATGGAGGTGAACGAGCGACGCATGAGGTACAAGGTCGATGAAATTGTTTCCAAGCCAAACAACACAGTCGTCGATTCTCGTGTTTTGGCACTCCATGCAGAGTCAGCCAGCCTTGTTGGTATTGAGGAGCCCAGGGACCAACTGATAAAATTGATGGATGAAGAGAGTGTGCCTGCTTTACATCAGCTAAAGGTGCTCTCTATTGTCGGATTTGGAGGTCTTGGAAAAACTACCCTTGCAAATGAGATTTATCGCAAGCAAGAGGGCTTGTTCCTGTGTCAAGCTTTTGTTTCTGTGTCCCAAAAACCAAATATTAGGAAGGTACTAAGGACTATACTATCTCAAGTTGGCTTTAAACCTCCTATGAACACCAACATGGAAATGTGGGAAGAGTCTGAATTGATTAGGACGCTGCAAAATTTTCTTTTGTATAAGAGGTATGCCAGCAATGAAAACAAATGCTAAGTAACTTTTCATGATTTTGAAGCGATTCAGTTTTAGCTTTCTAGCGTGTCCTGCAAGTGAAATTTTTATGTGTTTGTTTTTTCTTCTTGGTTTATACCTTGTTCACTTTTGGTTAACTAGGTAATGACATCCATGTTGTATCCATTGATCGATCCTACAGATTTCAGTATATAATAACTAACTGTCACTCACACACATCGAGTAATGATTTATTATTCAATGTATTTCTATTTCATCATAACCTGTGAGACATTTATTAACATATGCAAAAGCCAGAGAAACCCAGTAAACAAAGTTTTACAACTATTATCCGAAGATGTTGAATGTCTTTTGATTTCTATTCTGCAGTCATGTTCGTCAAACTAGAATTGCAGATCTCATTAGTACCTAAGTAAGATTCAGTATTGACAAAAAGTACCTTCACAAAACAGCAAGGCCCATGAGCTACCTTTTGCTCAACTTCAGCACCATAGGGGTTGTTTTGAAGTTTTAGCCCTGGTAGCATAACCACATTTGAAGTTTGATTGATTGAGTTTTCTTCTTGTTGATGTTTTAAAATTTAGTTAGGATATTTTCACATACATTGTGCTAATGTTGTTGTATTTACATGGCAGGTACTTCATTGTAATTGATGACATATGTGATGCTCCTTCATGGGATATTATAAGATGTGGTCTTCCAGAGAGCATGAATGGAAGCAGAGTAATCACAACTACACGAATCGAGACTGTCGCTAGAGCTTGCTGCACTAATTGCTATGAATATGTTTATAAGATGAAACCACTTAATGAACAAGGCTCAAGAAGGTTATTGTTCAAAAGGATATTTGGTTCAGAGGATGCTTGCCCGCCTAATTTGAAAGAAGTCTCAGCAGGAATTTTTAAAAAATGTGGCGGTTTACCTCTTGCAGTTATCACAATATCTAGCCTTTTAGCCAATCAAGAAAGTAAACTGAAGGACTGGTGGGAGTACGTACAAAAATCTCTAGGGTCCAGCTTTGAAGTGAGCCCAAGCTTGGATGGCATGAGACAAATATTAAACCTCAGCTACATAAACCTTCCTCGTTATTTGAAGACTTGTATGCTATATCTCGGCATTTATCCAGAGGACTACACAATCAATAAGAATGATTTGGTTAGACAATGGATAAGTGAAGGTTTTATATGTGCAGGTCGTGGGACAGATCCAGAGGATATTGCAAAGAGCTATTTTAATGAGCTTATCAATAGGAGTTTGATTCAGCCCGTAGATACAGACTACAATGGTGAGGTGATGTCTTGCAGGGTTCATGACATGATGCTTGATCTTATCATACATAAATCCAGAGAAGATAATTTTATCACTGTAATAGATGATATTCAAGATTTGACAAGACAGCACAACAAGATCCGTCGACTCTCACTCAGTTTGGATGGTGCAATAGATGAAACAGTAGGAAGATCCTTCCAGCTATCCCAAACACGAATGCTAGCAAGATTTGGTACCTCTTTATATCTGCCTCCTATTTTACAGTTCAAGCATCTCCGAGTTTTGACGATTGAAATTTCAAGTGGGCCCTTTTCATCGGAGTTACTGGACTTGAATGGAATATGTCATTTGTTTCAACTGGGATTCTTAAAGATCATAGCAAGTGGTCGTCATGTGGTGTTACCTAGTAAAATTGGACGTCTGCAGCAACTGAAAACATTTGAAATAAAAGGACGATTAGATCTGCAGCTACCATCAGATATTGTCCATTTGAGCCGTTTATCGCATCTGATTGTTCCAGAAGATGTAATATTTCCTAGTGGGATAAGTAACATGAAATCATTGCGTACTCTACGTTGCTTTGATTTGAGAAACTCACTAGACAATATCAAGGGTCTGAGAGAACTGACAAATCTGACAAATGTTGAAATCGGATATACTGACTACACATCCACCAATAGAGACGAGTTTGCTGCAAAATGTGGGGAACTTGTGCACGCCCTTGGAAACATTTGCAGCCTCAAATGTCTATTTATTCGTAGTGATCTCCTACCTGTCACTCTCAGAGCCTGCTTAGATTCATGGTGTTCAGTCCCAACTTCTTTCATTCATCTCCAGAGCTTTCATGCAAAGTACGATCGCTGGTTCTCGAGGATTCCTGGGTGGATTGGCCAGCACCATAGCCTCTACGATCGCAGCTTAAAGTACAATGAATGCGGGTTTTATATAATGTGGGCAATGCTTCGCTACATCGGCGGGAAATCGGAAGAAGCCGATAAGTTGGTGTGTATAATCCCCATTTCATTTATGTCTGTTAATAATTCAACAAAATAATTTACTGTTCCTCTTTGGATATCATCTTTTTTGAACGAGAGCACAAGAAATTTAAGCATGAAAGGCTACTAGAGATGGAGATCGTCGCACTACAATCGGAGCTGTCAAAATTCATCTTAGCCGAGGTAATGGAAAAAGATGGACTATTTTTCATTGCACAATCCATGAAGTACAAGGACCAGTATGGCCCAGAGCGGCTCGCCAGATTATTGTAAGAAGTCCGAGAACATTTCTTTTTTATTTTGAGGGATCGAGATCTGGATAAGAACATTTGAATTGTAACCGTAACATTTGTAATGTTTAATATTGATGGACCTATCGTCTACGTAGCGTATATAAAGTGAAACCTGATCCCACGAAAAAAATATAAATTAAAATAAATTATAAAACAATAAAATACGCACGGGCCATCACTGCCGGTTAGCAACAAACCGGCAGTGTTGTTGTAACCATCACTGTCGGTTAGAAACAAACCGACAGTGTTGGCTTGCTCAACACTGTCGGCTTGAACCATAAACCGACACTGATAATTAGGACAACTCTGCCGGTTTGATACATGAACTGACAGTGTAGGCTTCCTCAACACTGCTGGCTTGAGCCAAGAACTAACACTGATATTTACTACAACAATGCCGGTTGGATCCACGAACCGACACTAATATTTACAACAACACTGCTGGTTGGATCCACCAACCGACACTGATATTTACAACAACACTACCGGTTTGATCCATGAACCGACAGGTCTAGGCTTGCTCAACACTGCTGGCTTGAGTCAGGAACCGACACTCTTGAAGCAACCGTCACTGTCGGTTGGAACTACAAACCGGCAGTGTTGTTCAACTGGACACTGCCGGGTGGAGCCAGGAACCGACACTGTTTTCTGTAGATCAGTGTCGGTTTTCAGTGACCGACAGTGATGTCAACCCCACATCACTGTCGGTTCAAAATCCGACAGTGAAGTAGGTTTTTGAACTGCAGTGATGTCCAGATCTGGGGTAGTGGCCAGCTATGCTAGTAAAATTATTAGCTAGTTGAAACAAGTATACTGTGCTTCCAGTAAAACTTTATACCTCTGTTTGTGAGAATGCTCTATTTTTCTGTCAAGAATGCTTCGTTACATTGGTGGGGATAGCTAGGCCTATTCCTGGCCCTGATTGTCGCCTAAGCTGTCCGCTTCTTGGATTATATATACTTAATATACTATTTCAAATGTTAAATCATGCCACATCACTAATCCCAGTTAAGTAACAGATCAAGCACATAAATCATCTGGAAGCTCGTCGCACCTCACGGGAATCTGACTGACTGCTGAGATATATACATACATGCACCAGTATCAAAGACATGATCACATTCGAGTCATCAAAGACAAAGAAAACCACAAGTCTTCAAAGCAAGCAAAATCAGCCGACCTTTGGTGAAAGAGTTACCATCAATCAACTAACATGGTAGATAGATTCGAGTTTTGGTGAATTTCGTACATTTGAGTGAAGTGCCCGGCCGTTACAATGTAGCATCCATTATAGCAAAATGCACCAACAAGGCAGGGCAAGTCAGCAAAACATATATAGTCAGGTGAAGAGGAAATTCTCCTAAGAAGCCATCCGCTCCCCCCGCTAGTCCCGCCGGTGGCCACTCCGGCCCTGGCGTCCACCTTCCAAAACGCCGGTGGTCACTCCGGCATCGCGCGCCGTCCACCTCCCAGACAACGCCAGCTGCCCCTTCGGCTCTGCCATCCACCCCCCCCCCTTTCTCCCACAGCAGCTCCTCCGCGTCTTCCTAGGATGTCGTCCCCAAGTTCCCCAGGTGGGGGTCGCCGCTGCCACCCTCCGCGTCAGCGGCCAGGGAGTCGGCCTCGTCCCCCCGCCTGCATATTCCTCGTGAGGGTGCGCCTATCGAAAAGGATGGCTTCACCCTCGTCCAGAGCCGCCGTCGCTGGCGAAGGCGCGCGCCGCCCGGTGCTGCCAGCTCTTGTGTGGGGTTCTCCTTCAACTGCCTCGACGGAGGCCACGTCAAGGCAGACTGCTCCTTCCGGTCGCGCTACTTCCACTGCCACAGCACGCAGCACCGGGCCAAGGCGTGCAAGCGCGGCCGCTCGCCTGGGCACCAAGCCGCATTCCGGCCCAGGGAGCGCCCAAGCCGTCGTCTTCGGCGTCACGCGGTTCGGGGATCGTCGGCTTCTGCTGACACGGTGTCCGGGAGTGCTCCACTGGCCTGCCGCCGGTTTGCAATGAGCACTTCGGCTCGCCACACCACACACCATCATCGCCGCGTGATCCGACCCTGCCACGTCGCTCTCCGTCCCCGCCGCGTGGACCGACACCGCCAATGTCGCCACTGGGCACGCCGCCTCCTCCAGGCCACCATTCCTGCCGCCCAGGGTTGGAGATCGTCGTTATCCCCCGGTCTGTGGAGCTCCAGGCAGCCGATGACGCTCTCTCGTCTCTGGCGCTTGTGGCCCTGGTCGGCGGCAGCCGCCCCACGGTCACGATCGCGGATGTGCGCCACCAGCTCACTTTGTTCTACAGAATCCCGGACGACGCGTTCTCCATCAGTTGCTATGCGCCGGAGGACTTCCTCGTCAAGTTCAACTCTCGCCACGATCTGGAGGACGTTCTGCGCGGTCCGGTTCCGATCGGGACACCCTTCTTCCTGGTCTGGAAGCACTGGCGGCGCCAGTCCAGGGCGTCCGCCGGAGCTCTCAAGTACAAGGTGCTCGTCGGCTTGTCCGGGCTGCCTGCCCATGTCTGGAGTCCGTAGTCGGCACAGCGCATACTGGGGTCATCCTGTGCCAAGCTCGAGGAGGCTCCGGTGACCACCACCGGAGAGGACCGGCGGGAGTACGTCGTTGCTGGGTGGTGCGTCCACCCGGACTTCATCCCCATGGAGAAGGTGATCGTGGTCCCGGAACCCGAGCTGTCGTTCGTCGTGGGATTGTTGAGCTGGATTACTGGAACCCATTCATTTTCTTGTAATCATATGGATTGTGAACGTACCCGTTCATGCTTTTCTCTTGGCTACTACATTATGCTACTATAAAATTACAACTAGTTGGAACAAGTATATTCTGCTTCCAGTAAAACTTCATAGCCCTGTGAGAATGATCTTTTCTGCCAAGTTATATTGGTGGGGCTAGCTAGCTACTGCTGGCCCTGGTTTTCCCCTGGCCGGCTGTCCGCGTTTTGGGCTAAGTATACTCTGCTATATATTTGAAAAAAAAAATCATATCATCACTAATACACTACTGTTCCCTATTAAGCTGGAAGCACGCCCACATGACGCCCACATGTGGTTATGCACCCAGAAATCAGCTTGGTTAGTCGTGATGAGCTTCCAGAAATCAGCTGGAAGCTCATCACGACTAACGACCATCTGGCTGACTGATTGCTGAGTAATACATGCATATGCACCCAGGATTGGAGTCATCAAAGACAAAGAAAACCGCAAGTCTTCAAAGCTAGCTTCTCGATCTCCAACGTAACTGAAGCAAATAAACCCCAATTTATCAAAAGCAAGCAAGACCAGGAGAGCTAGTTATAACTACTTACATTACAGAAAGAGTACATTATATACAGGGAGTAGGTTTGAGTTTTGGTAAATTTCATAATTTTGAGTGAAGAACTCGGCCGTACATGTAGCATCCATTATACACTGGGAATTAGTACAGACAAATGAACCAACAAGGCAAGAACAATAAGCCAGTACCAACAACCCAACAGCATCTCTTCATTACAGCGTGGTGCATATTCATGTACCAATCAGAAATAGCAAGTCTCAAACAACCAAGACGAGAAATACAAAGGTCAACATGAAGTCCATGCAGCTCGGTGTTGAAAGCAGAAAATCCTGTAACGAAGGCAAGGGCTGTCAATGATATTGATGTCCTGATTACTTGTCGGCAAAATATTTCTTCATGCATACAAAGTGTCCGCAACATCCCCTACAATACACATGAGGAAGGAAATTAACGAGCTGAGACAAGAGCAGAAACATGTTCGTTCTGCTGCTACTGTCTTACTGCTAAAACTTTTGTTTTCTGCCACATTAATGATGGAGCTCGCAACATTTTTTTTTTTTGGGTAAGTTTGCAATGCTGAATCTCGTTCGTGGAATTTAACTCCCCCAAACACAAAAGATGGATATTCTTGTTGTTCCTTGTCTTGTCTTTGTTCCATTCCAGTTAAGAGATTAAGAATCAGAGATTTTTTTGTAAAATACATACGAATTAGGAAATTTGGTATAAGAAAGTAGCACAACATCTTAATTTCTCATAAAAACAACATCAATCAGAAGTAATTTACCAAAGTACCAACTCATGAGGAAAGAATTTATAAGAAATCAAAGAAATTGCACTACAAACTCGGTAAGAAAAGCTAACATACAAAATTCTACGGCGTGGCTAGCGCCCGGACGTCCAGTGCAGCCCGCCCCAGTCCGCAGTCGCCCCACCCTTGTACGGCTTCACCTTGCCCCATGCGCGCACTCCGCCAGATGCTCATGCCCGTCGGTCATTCCCTGACCCGCTCCTCTCTCTCTCAGGCGGGCAAGACTTTCGAGCCGAGACACGGCGTGGCCTGCATCGAGCACCCGTCCGCCCGCCTGCAGCCCCCGACACGCCATGAGCATGGTCCGCCTAACCCCTGGCTCATCCCTGGCCGAACAACATAAAACACTTGCAACATGAAAAAAAAATTGAATGCAACATACATATGAAAACAGATGAAACACTTGGAACTTGCACTTGCAACATATGTGTGGAACACATAAAACATCCAAAAAATAACACTTGCAACTTGCAACATGAAACCACCTGCTGCAACATAGGAGTGAAACAGCTGAAACATTTTGGAACATACTGTTGCAACATTTGTGTGAAATATATGCAACATCCAGATAAAAAACAATTGCAACATACGTATGGAAATAGATGAAACATTTTGAACAAATGCTTGCAGCATGCATCTGAAACACCGCAACATATGCAACATGTGCAATATCCCCCGATCTACTTTTGCAACATCAAAATAGAACAACTGCATCATATATCTAAAACATCGGAAACAATTGAAACATACATATTCAACATAGTGGAGGGGAAGGCCGACGTTGGTCGATTCCAGCCACCGGGGTCGGCTTGAAGGAGCAGCGCGCAAGGCGTCTGAGCCCCACCGCCACCAAAGAAGAAGCTTGGCTTGCAGGGCGGGCGCACTAGCACCAATGGTGGCCAAGCACCACAACCACCACCAGCCGGGTCTTGGCTCGTCGACCAAAGTGAGCGAGCACCACCATCACCAGAGCGAGCACGATGGGAAGGGCAAGAAGCGCCCGCGCGGCAGGGCGGCGAAAGCTGCCTGGATGGGGCGTCTTGGCGCGAAGTGAGGCGAGTGGCATCCGTGTTCATGACGAAGGACGAACGGAGTGGCAGCCGCAAGGCGTTGTGGTGGAGAGAAGGGAGCGGAAGGGATAAGAAAGTTTTTTTTTTCTTTTTTTTAGAATGGTTGGGGGCGAGGGCAGGTGGATGAGCGTTCGTTGGGCTGTGTCATGGCCCACCATCGGCACCATCCGGACGGACGGACGCCCTATACCCAGCAGTACCGAAAAATCTATAAAGAAACTGAGCTAGTTCGTCAAGAACAGCTTGCAACACTTTCGGGTTATACCAGGATGAGTTTAAGATACTACTGCAGTTTTTGTACCTGCACGGCTAATGAGCACAACGCAGTGAATCAATGACTGAATGGTTGAATCTGACAACTATTGTTTCAGCTATTTGTGGTACTAGCACAAGATGAATGATGTCGGTATTTTGCTATCCTGGAATAATTTCAGTAGCAAAATAGGAAGGTTAAAAAACTACAGAGAGGTGTTAAAATGAAACAGATGAGATTGCTACTGATATAACAACCTCAATTACAATAATTTATGCAGAGTTGATTCATGAAAGCATAAACAGAGTTCATTTATGCAGCGAATCAAGGAACATACAAAAGGGTTGCATTTGTCATGAACTATTTTACCAGCGGGTCTGATGTAATGCACATGCACCAACAATTTATTCAGCAAAGGGATCCCGTGGAAGAAGAAAGAAAGGAACGAAACGGCGCCGCCGCCGCTCGCAATCTGCAGGAGGGAGAAACGGAACCTGTCCACCGGACCACCGCCCGCCCGCGGATGCAATGCAATCACACAGAACGTACGTGTAGCCGCCTGCCCTGAACGTCCCTGGGCCTCGGTGATCCCCTGACGGCGACGTCGGGATCGCCATTTCGCTTTCCCAGTCTCGCTCATCCCGGCGCCATCCAGTTGCCTGGTTGCCGTTGTACGTGCCGGCGGGCGGATCCGTGGGCGGGGCTGCAACGCCAGCGAGCCCTCTCGCGGCGGCGGCAGCGCGTACAGATTGCGTGCGTGGGCTTCAGCCCATTAGCTGAGAACTGGTTTGAGCCTACAAGGGCTTTGGAGTTGGAGGGGAGCCTGGTCGCACGTTGGGCCTTGTGTGGCCTTCCAGGCCCACATGTGGAAAGCAGCCGCCACCTGCGTCACCCATCAAGTTTGTCGAGGTGTTTTCTAGTTGCTCTTTTCGTAGTTTGCACTATTGCATTGGGAGGTATCACCTTAGGTATCAGGGGCCATAGGAACCTAGTTTGTGTGTACTCGTAATAATGCCTTGCACCTAATTGAGTAGCATATAATAAATTAGAAATGATTAATCATGGCGAACCATGGATTACAATTGCTTTGGAAAACCAAGCCAAGAGGATTGACAGGGACATTGACGTAAACTAGCCAATTTTTTTAGAGCAACTATGACAGACGATCGCCGGCCTGAACTTATCATTTAAAATGTGGCAAACTGCGGATTTCAAAACAGACGTAGACCCAAGACATGCATAGAGGACAAAACTAGGAAGAAAACATACAAGGACACTCTTGCACAAAGAAGACAAAAGCTGAAGGACAAACACCAAATGATGACTAGCACTACCACAACAACACCACTGGTTCTATCCTATTGTACTGCTGTCCTCCATAAGAGGGACCACTCAATGAAATAGCAACTAGGACTAGGAATAGGGGATGCGCACAGGAGAAAGCTCATTGAAAACGACGACCTTTCGTCAAGCTGATGGCAACAGCTTTCCCGACACATGGATCCGGGCTCCACATACTGCCACCCAATACCTAACGTATTGATAGATTGGATGAAAATTAACTAATTTTCACACTAATCCACTCCAACAAACGTTAATTCAAGTGAATACATGTGTATCTAAACAAGCCCTCCATAGAATGAAAGTCCTTAACACCAATGACTGAAGAGAGCTCAACCAACATGTGATTTGATGGAATCATAAACAAGTCAGACGGAGACCTCGCTGTGGAGTGTGGAGTCAAGGGGTGTCGGTCTCGCGGAGCAGGCGGCTACAACGAATCCTACTCATCATTCACATGGCTCCGCGGTTGGTGGCCCCGGCGCTAGATAGCTACCTGTGAGGGATGGTGTAACATGCCGTCGCCACCAGGCACCAATAATGCTCTGTGTAGACTGAGAGATAGGCTCCAAAGATCTTTACAGCTTGCAGCCAAATATATTATTAGTCTTGCTCTATGTGGGCTAATTGTTATATGATAGGTAGACTAATAGTTTTAGCTATAAGTTTACAGACAGCAGCATACTGCATTATGGACCAGTACTGGTCCATGCCTCGCTCGTCTCGTCTGGTAGCGATGGGCATCCACCTCGAGTGTGGGCCCATTCAGAC